TGTGTTGTTATCCTTCATTTGTTACCTTTGGCAATCAAGACACAGCGTGGTCATGCAAGCAGGGCAATTCAAGACAGCATCACTGTTTGGAACAGGCTGTTGTTGATGTGGCCTCTGTCTTCCAAAACCATGGTAGCTAGAACAAAAAAAGAAGGGGTTGGAGGACACATTAAAGCCAGATCTTGATTTCTAATGCCACTCTCCAATGAAAATAACCAGCAATCCTCAGAAAAATGGTTGATTCAGACAACGGGGCATACAAAATGAACCTGGAGCATCTTGTAGTGCCAGAAAGTAAGGAAGTGCTAAAACCAACCAACCAACAGTGCAGTAGGTGTGTCAAAGGGACACAGGAGGCAACTGAAACACTCCCATTGGCCAAAGCTGAAAGAATTAGATCAACAAAATTGAAGTAGTATTAGACTATAACCCAAAGTATAAATAAATGCTTGAGTCCATGCTGATATAAATGACTGAATAAATAAACAAATGGGGGAGAAAAGACAAATCTCCTGTACAGGGCCGGAAAAGTGGCTCGTTGGTTGAGAGTTGGCTTGGGAGCTCGAGCTCTGAGCAGCAAGGTCCCGGTTCAGACCCCACGAGGGCCAGTGACACTGCCCTCTACAACTAAGATGGTGAACAACAGCTCAATCTGGAGCTGGGTTCCCGTGAGTCGCCAGTGACAGTGTAGGTTGCAGCCCCGCTGCAGTGGGCTGCCATGAGCTACTTTGAGTGGCTGGCAGCCAGCGTGACCAGCCAGCGGTGTGAGCTGCCGTGAGCCGCCATCAGCCGCCCTGAGCAGCCGTCCAAAGGCTAGCAACTCATCTGCCTCAGCTGGGAAGAGCGCAATGATAATACCAACATTGGCCAGTGAAGCGACGTCTTCCACAACTAGACTGAAGAACAAAAGGACAGCAACTTGTCTGTTCCCCTTCCCCATTTCCCCAATGCTGTTCCCTCCCCCAATTCCCCCAATAAAATCCTTTAAAAAAAAAAATCTCCCATACAGAAGAATTACAGCTAATTTAAGAAGATGCTCTCTCTTCATAACTCCCCACTCCTTTAGTCTGGGCTGCACATAGTGACTTCCTTGCAAAAAGTACAGTATGGATGGGGGAAAAAGAGTAACTTTACAGTAGAGAAACCTGACAAACACTGCCTGACCAAAGTGATCAAAGTCAACATGAACAGACGTAAGTCACATTGATGGTATATGTGCCCTCGATATTATGTGATGAAAATGGCACTTTACCTCTTTAGTCTTCCGCCCAAAACCTATAATCCCTGTCTAATCATGAGAAAACATCGAATTCCAATTAGAGGAGCCTCCTACAATGTACAGTCATGCACCCCATAACCACGATTCAGTCAATGATGGACCACATATACAATGGTGGTCCCATACGATTATAATGGAGCTGAAAATTCCTATTGCCGAGTAACGTCGTAGCCATGGTTACATCGTAGGGCTCAGGCAATGCATTACTCACGTGTTTGTGGTGATGCTGCTGTAAACATACCTACTGCATTGCTAGTCATATAAAAGTATATTTCAGGGCCGGGTGAGTGGCACGTTGGTTAAGAGTTGGCTTGATGCCAGCTCTGAGCAGCTGGGCCCCAGTTTGGATCCCACATTAGGACCAGTGATGCTGCACTACAGCTAAGATGGTGAACAACAGCTCGACCTGGAGCTGGACTGCCATGAGTCACCGGCGATGGCGTAGGCTGCAGTGGGACTGTCCGGCTGCTGGCGTGAGCTATTGTGAGCTGCCAAGAGCCGCCATGAGCAGCCGTCCAATGGCCAGCAAGCAACTACCTTAGCCGGGAAGAGCACAATGATAATACTAAACATGGGCCAGTGAAGCGACATCCTCCACAACTAGACTGAAGAACAAAAGGACAACAACTTGTCTGTTCCCCTTCCCCAATTCCCTAATGCTGTTCCCCTCCCCCAATTCCTCAATAAAATCTTTAAAAAAAAAAGTATATTACACACAATTATGTACAGTACATAATACCTGATAATTATAATAAATGACTATGTTACTGGGATACATACTTACTATATATACTTTTTATTATTTTAGAGTGTACTCTTTCTACTTATAAAAAGTTTGCTATAAACTTTTGTATCTGCCATGTTATGCCAGCAGAAGCATCATACATCTTGTGTTTACCAAGTCTCTTAATTACATCATTTTTCTCTTGTGCTTGATTAAATCTCATGTTGTTTTATAAGTTTAGTGTAGCCTAAGTTTACAGTGTTGATAAAGTCTACAGTAGTGTACAGTAACGTCTTGGGCCTTCACATCCACTCACCGCTCACTCACTGATTCACCAGAGCAACTTCCAGTCCTACTAAATGCTAAATGCTAAATGCTCTATACAAGTGCACCATTTTTAATCTTTTATAGCATATTCAGTATTTAGTACAGTAACATTCTATACAGGTTTGTAGCCTAGAAGCAATAGCTTTACCATCTAGCCTAGGAGTATAGAAGGCTCTATCATCTAGGTTTGTGATAAGTATCAATCATAGCACTTAAAATGTTCATTCCACACTACGGGTGATTGAAAAATACTCATTAAATGAATGCAGTTGGAGGAAGTGGTGCATGGGTGAAACTGGGAGAGAAAAAAGGACAAAGTGTGAGAGTGGAGGCTAACCCACACAATATCACAATCCCTCTGACTTGAAAAACATAGCTTCCAGGACCCCACCTTAGCTGAATCAAAACCTCCTAGAGTAGGATTCAAGGATTGGCTTTTCCTTCTCCCCAGGTGACCCCGAAGCACAGCCAAGTTAGGGAAGCACTGGATAATAGTGGCAAGTTGCCTAGCTTTTAGTTTTATGACATATCAACCTTTATAAAATCAAATTTGAAAATGAGTACAATGTTTCCTCTTGGGATGATGAAAATAGTTTGCAATTAAATAGAAGCGGTGGTCACCTAACATTGTGAATATACTAAATGCCACTAAATTGTTCACTCTAAAATGGTTAATTTTATGTTATGTGAATTTCACTTCAATTTTTAAAAATCCAATTGTAAACAGTTAAAAAGAACAATTCAGATGCAAAACATAATATTCACTCTTCATCCACATAAACTCTTATTTAATGTCCAACTGTTGGGTCGTCGGGAAAGTCATGACGCATTTTTGCATTGCAAAACATAGAAAAATACGTCATGACTTTCCCAACGACCCAATAGTTTTTTTTAGAGGGGTGGGAGTAGGGGGGTGAGTTTAAATGCATTTTATTTTTAGACAACCTACATGATATATTTTTCTTAAAAACAATGCCTCCACTCCAAATAAATCAAGGTCAAGATAAAAGAAGAGCTCAAGGTAACATCAGTCCCATCTGTCCTAGTCCTGGTGTGTGGATGAAAAGCAGCAGCCAGTTATGATGATGACTGGTGATGGATCCCAATGGCCAACTGTGTTAACATTTTTCCATTTCTAAACCATCCTTAAAGAAAATCATGTTTGGGGTCACGCCATCCTCACGGTAGCCCAGCAGAGCACCATGCCATCTGGATTCATGTTTTCACAAATAAAGAACTGGTAGATTTTGAAATTACCAAGGATGTGCTTGATTTTTTCTACAGTCCCTGTCATAAAAGGTTTTATTCTCTGTTCTTCAAGTTTCCCTTTGACTGATTTCATGTAATCTTTGATGTACTTCTTGTAGACTTCTTTTGTGAAGCCGGCTTCCTGCAAATGATGGTTCATGACAATTTAACACCAGTGACTTTAGTACCTTCGACCCTGGGGCCTTCAGTGAAGGCATTTCCACCCATGAGCGAGTCTTCAATGTCACCCTCTGTCCCACTAACCATCTTCCCCTCCACCTCCAGGCACAGCCCATCTATGATCTCCCGGATCTTACAGATGGAGAACATCTATCTCATCTTGGCTGATGAGGTCCCAGTAGATGATCATGATGGCGGCTGGAAGGAGATAACAGCAGTACTGGCATAGCGGGAGCTCAGAGCCAGCACGATGCAGCTGGAGGGAGCAGCGCTCAGGGGCAGCGGGGAGCAGGCAGAAAAGGAATGTCCAACTAGTTTTAAATTTGTGTTTGTTTGAAAAAATCCAGCTTTGTTTCTTGAATGGAGAGACTGACTACAGCAGTTTGAATTCAACAGTTTTTTAAAAATCAACTGAAATTGGCTAGTTATTTTCAAATTAAACTATTCAGTTTTTTTCAAATTTCTTTGTTTATGTATGTCTGTATGAATATATACGCATATACATACACGCAAAATGTGAATGCACTGAAAATTATCTTTCAATCATTTTCTCTGAAGATTCTAAATATTAAAATTAAATTTAAGTTCTTACCCTCTTCTCTGTGCATCGACCCAGGCCTGATCTCTGTTATCTTTTTCAGGATCATACAGTAATTCATCATTTGTTAGAATCCTGTGTCGTTTCTTCTTTTTTTTCTTGGTCACCTGTGCTAATTTTGAAAATGTTAAGGATATGACTAAGTATCTATCTAAAGTTCACATATCTTTAATACAGAATGAAGAATACCATTTCCTAAGCTACATTTTTATTTATACATTCCTTAAAACTTCTTTAACTATTCCTCAAAGTAAAGCTTTGTCCAATTAAAAAGGCACTAAAACAAAGATGCAGAAGAGGCAAAAACTGTTTCTTCACTGAAAACTAGTGCCTCAAGAGCTTAAATACTGAAAATTCAGAGTCCAAAAAGACCACTCAAAGCAAACCAAGAATAGAAACTACTTTTGATGTCTAAATTTTCCACAAATTCCCATAAATAAATGCTACTGAAATCAGAAGAAAAGTATTTCAAAAATGAATGAAAAAAGAACTATGGTCATCCACATACACTAGACCTTTAAAATGCACTTGAGCAGGTCAATATTTAGGTAATATATCAAAATATAAAATTATTCTTTTACCATATAAATTTGTTATTTGTGTATTTCAGTGTTAACTACTGATATAACTAAATTAGTTTTAGGTCTTGTCATTATGTTCAACTTTGCTCCAATTTTATACAAAATCAATTCCAAAGAATAGAGAGGCTAATGAAAAAAAGCTAGAAGTTAGGGAAAATTCTGCAAGAGGGTAAAAATATAGAAGCTATCTGCAGGTGTGAAAGCAGATATTGCTGCACTAAAAGAGTCTGAAGCAAGAGGGGGGCCAAGAGCCCGGAGGAAGGAGGTACTGAGTCAGGGCATACTCTTCCTCTCCCCAGGTGTGCCTCTCTGCAGCGCCACTGTTGGTCCCATGTCCTCGCATGTGTGTGCATTCCCACCTGTTCTTTTTCTTTTCTTGTGGTAAAACTGGCATACAAGGTTATACTGGGGGTACCAAAAAATGTATACAAGTGGACATTTTGGTCAATATTGCTCAAGCAGTAGTTTGCCATAATCAGAAGTGTCTAGACGCTGATGGTAACCACTTTGAGCATCTCTTGTAATTGCAGAAGTCAAACATGACTTGTATTCATCTTTTGTTATCAGTATATATTGAGTATTACAATTTTAATACAGTTTTTCTTAAAATGTGTATACATTTTTTTGGCACCCTCTGTACATATTTCAGGTGTACAACATTATAATTGATATTTGTATATACATCTATTGTTATTCATCGATCCTGTTATTTTTTTCACATCAACTGCCTGCAATTTCTTAAAGAATCAAACTCAGAGGGAAATCCCAATATTAAATAATTGCTAGATGAGCTTTTCATAAAATATAACTGCTTAACCTGATAAGCATTTTACTTACCTGCTTTGTCTTCGTCCTCAGAATCAGAATCAAAATATATATCATCATAGTATTTTGTCAGAGCTGTCCCAACATTCCCATTTCCTGAGGAAGACCCTGTTCAAACCATAACAGAAGTTTACAGACTTAACCATCCATAACTGACAAGAACAAAACTCCATATATTCTTCCATCACCCTCCAAGTAATATCAACTCCTCCCAATGTCATTCGGATGGAAAAATATTTTCACATCAATGACTTTCTGCATTTGTGTCCTGTGCAATTACAGAGAACTGCCCCTCCTTGATTAAATGTTCCAAATCATGAGATTTTTGTCTCCCTTCCCACAAATCTAATTAAATAAAATAGCCACATTTCCAGGTTGCCAGCATACCTATCTCTGCCTTTCAGCCATGCAGTACACTGTAGAGAACAGGGAACAAGCATCTTGTTTTAAAGGGACTTTAGGAGAAAGAGGATACGAGCCCTGAGAGAGGCAGGAGAATGAGTCAAGGACACACGCTTCCTTTCCTCAGCTGTGCCTAGCGCCATGACATTACCTGTACTTAGGTCATTGTCCCTAATTCTTCCTCTTAATTAACATTCGCTTTTGATTTTATTATTACTACATATGCTTTCATTCTTAACAGTTAATACATAGTATATCAACATGGAAACCAACGCAGAGGAGTCCTACTTTCACAAATCAGTTTTCAGGTTGGGTACCTTTTACATAAAGACCAAGTATCAAAATGAAGTATATTTCATTACTTACTAAAATGAGACAGGAATTTGTGGTGACACAGCATTCAATCTGCCATAGCAGTGCTACAGAATCCTAAAAATACTTCTATAAGCCTGTCTATTTTTTTTAATCCTAGGTAAAAATTACGAAAGAAAATCATGTAAGTAATCTTTCCAACAACACAGGAAACTTCTTCACTAGTCATCAAAGAAAACTATGGTGAGGTTGCCAAACACATGTATTCATTCACTCAATAAATATTTATTGAATTACATGGAAATGTGGTTATATTATATTGTTAGGACAAAAAGCAGGTTATGTAAATATGATCTTATAAATTGGAATAAAAACAATATGATGATGAGAAAAAAAATTTAAAAATAAAAATAATAAATATTTATTGAGCACCTACTGAAGGTGCAGGGAACACAACAGGGCACAAATAATGTTCTTGCCAATATGGAGCTTTAAAAAATATCTATATGAAAATCTAACTAAAAGTTTACCTGTTTCCAGAGAGGATAACTTGTCCTGCATCGTTTTTATGGTGGAATTTAATTCAGCGTCCATTTCTTTTTCAAATTCATCTTCACTAGATGATTCACTTTCTCCAGTAAGACATTCTCTGATGAGTTTTCGCTTCTGGTCGGGAGTTCCATGTAAAAGCACATCCACTTCATCTTCAGAACTAGTATACATTTAAATCATAAAGAATATGAATAGTAAAGAATTAAAATAACTTACAACTCCCATCATCTCACTGCCCAACAATTTTAAGTTTTACAAGGTTGCATGTGACTTATTATAAACATCTTTCTGACTTCTTGAAATATCACACTGCTTTCCAGAAGTATTGCACCAATTGCTAACTCCATCAGCAATGAAAAGTTTACTCCACAAAACTGGGAGTTTTTTAAAACTCTGGACACTTTAATAAAACTTCATATATAACTAATATATCCACATAAAATGTTAACAGGTAGTAACTGAATATTACAGTTTAAAAGACTCAGTGCTAGAGAGAAAGCTAAATTATATTCCAAATTCTCCTGAGCAATTCTGCCAATTTACTTGGCCTTCTGTGCCATCAGTAGTAGTATGACAGAATTAAACCAGGTATCAGCAGGAATATCTGAAATGCTTAAGACATTTCTAATACAATTGACCGTATCTAAATAACGCTCAATTACCCATGGTCAGATGAATAATTACAGACTATTCTTAGTTTTTGTTTCTCTATCTTTCTCTTCTAGAACAATGCTTCTGAGTCTCCAGCAGAAGGTAAATCAGAAAAATGCAATTCATAACACTCAGTTTTGCTAATGACAGAGGCCTTAGCCAGATTCCACTCCCAAGACAACTCTCTGATATTCCTCATCCTAACCAGCATGCTCCCTCTTTCTCCATTACCCCTGTATTCACTTGGGTCTTCTTATATTTACACCATATCCTAAGAATCTCCAGGCCTCCAAACTCTTGTTTCATTCCACCCTTAATTCTGCTGCCAGAATGTTATTCCTAAAGAACTCTCATCACATCACTACCCAACTCCGAAAGAAATCATCCATGGCCAAACCTCTGAGCACAGCATTCAAAAGAGCCTTCTACAATCTGGTTTCAACTGATATTTTCAACCTTGAACGATTTCAGTGGTCTTCAACTTGCAGCAGTTTTGCTCCCCAAGGGACATTTGGCATAGCTAGACACATTTTTGACTGTCACAACTGGGAGGACAGAGGAGGAGCTACTGGCATCTATCTAGTGGGTAGAGGCCAGGGGCACTGCCATCCTACAATGCACAAGACAGCCCCCTACAATATAGAGAATGGTCTGACCCAAGATGTCAATGCTGCTGAGGTTGAGAAACTCTGGTCTAGTCTATATTCCAATGTTTCCAAAGTCTGTGACATAGGAGATTATTTTAAGGAATAGCAGGATAGCCTATTAAATAACACTGAAGCCACTGCTGGTGGGAATATAAAATGGTACAGCCACTATGAAAAACAGCTTGGCAGTTTCTTATAAAATTAAACATGCTCTTACCATGCAACCCAGCAATTAAACTTCTGGGCATTTATCCCAGAGAAATGAAAACTTATATGCACACAAAAAACCTATACATGAATGTTTATAGCAGTTCTTTTCACAGTGGTCAACACTGGAAACAACCATATGTCCTTCACTGAGTGAATGGTTATAAACGTGGACTACTCAGCAATAAAAAAGAAATAAAGTATCGGGCAGCCAGTTAGCTCAGGTGGTTAGAGCACAGTGCTCATAACACCAAGGTTGCTGGTTTGATCCCTACAAGAGCCATGGAGCTGTGCCCTCCATGACTAGATTGAAGACAACTACTTAACTTGGAGCTGATGGGTCCTGGAAAAACACACTGTTCCCCAATAAAATTTTTAAAAAAAGAAGGAATGAAGTATTGAAACCTACAACAAAATTTCCAGAGAATTATGCTGAGTGAAAAAAGGCAATCCCAAAAGGTTACATACTACATGATTCCACTTATATATTTTTTGAAAATGACACAATTATAGAAATAGAGAATAGATTAGTGGCTACTAGAGGTTAAGTAGGGCATGGGGGCAGACAGTGGGGAATAGAAGGAATCCTTGTGCTGATGAAAATATTCTGTATATTTACTGTATTAATATCACTAACCCACCCAGATGTGATATTGTACTAGTTTTGCAATATGTTAACATTGGGGGAAACTGAATAAAGGTGACACAGAATTTCTGAATTATTTCTTACAACTGCATATGAATCTATCTCAAAATAAAAAGTTCAATTTAAAAAAAATTTTTTTGAATGACAAGAGTTATTCTTTTTGCAAATTTTCTTCAATCCTAGTGATTATGTCAAGGGAAGTCTCAGCATTTAGCACTGCTGGGTGAGGCAATCCATTATGGGCCCTGCAAATTCTTGTTCATATGCCAAGAATGCAAGGTTCTCACCACTCTTTACCTAGGCCATTTCTCAGAATTGTGTTTGCAGTTAAAAAAAAAAAAAAAAAAACCTTGAGGGATGAAGTAATGTCCCTTTCCAGGACAAAGAGCAGGCTTATTTACTGCCTGCTATAAAAGAGGTGGATTCTTCAAGCTCAAGTGGTCCTCAGCCACAGTGCCAACTCACTGAATGTGTAGCATCATCTAGGTCTCTCTCCATGTATAACCCCTGTAGAAGTTGGGACGTAACAGTGACCAATAAGAACGTAATGCTCAGGATGCCTGCTGTGCAATGCTCAGGATGCCTGCTGTGCAATGCTCAGGATGCCTGCTGTGCAGTGACTTGTCTGATCTAGGAAGCTCAGATCTTATGCAAGCTTCTATTAAAACAGTAACAGGTATAAAATATTAGCTTATACATGAGGTAAAACCAAATCCTGACAGACTCCTCTCAATCACCTCTCTAAAACCAATCTCCCTTTTTAAAACAAGCAATGGATTCAGAGCCTTGAGCAGGCAATACTGTCTAATAATATTGTTTTGTTTTCATAGTATTTTTAGTTACTTTACCAGTGGCAACTGTCACAGGAATTATAAAGCTTCTTTTAAGAAATTTAACTCCAAAAATGTAAACAGGTTTAAAGAAAAATATTAGGGCCGGCCGAGTGGCTCAGTTCGTTAAGAACTCAAACGGCTGGCAGCCGGTGTGAGCTGCCAAGAGCCGCTGTGAGTTGCCAAGAGCCGCTGTGAGCGGCCGTCCAGTGACCGGTGACCGATCTGCCTCAGCTGGGAAGAGCGCAATGATGATACCAACATGGGCCAGTGAAACGTCCTCCACAACTAGACTGAAGAACAAAAAGGACAGCAACTTGTCTGTTCCCCTTCCCCTGATTCCCCAGCGCTGTTCCCCTCCCCCAATTCCCCAATAAAATCTTTAAAAAAAAAAAAAAAAAAAACTTGCTCAAGAGTGCAAGCTCTGAGCAACAGGGTCACCGGTTCAATTCCCAGCCCAAGCTGAACTGCTGTTGAGCTGCCAACAGGCCTGCTAAAATAAATAAATAAATAAATAGATAGATAGATAGATAGATAGTTTAATATGGAGATAGCAACGGCAGAATAACTCAAGTCGAGGAAATACTGCTATATTCCAATCAAACTGAATTACTAATTGAGGCCTACATTTACTTCCTTTCACAGACCTGACCCATTAACTAAACCTTTTTCACAGGCCATCTTGAAATCCACCCTCATTCCCCACAACAGAAATCTTCACAGCAGTCTGATCTCCCATGCCTATGACCCCCTCCCCAGTATGTGAAGAAACATTGTGACTGAAGGTAGGACAGTTTTACAAAAAGCTCAGTCGGACAGAAGGTTTTAAAGTTTGTAAGTAGGGTCAGCTGACAGCTTTAAAAATGGCTAGATTTGCCAGGAAATCTCTTGCCGACATATCTGCAGGTTTCCCCCCAGGTAGGGTTAATCCCTTCTGGAAATTCCCACAGAACTTCATCTGTGCCTGTCTCAGGTCATCGTTTTGCACAATGCTCTTCCAAGATACTTATTTCCAAGATATATACCTTCCGAGATATACAGAGGGTGCCAAAAAAATGTATACACATTTTAAGAAAGGAAAACTGTATTAAAATTGTAATACTCAATATATGCTGATAAAAATAGATGAATACAAGTCACTTTGACTGCTGCAGTTACAAGGTTACCATCAGCGTCCAGACGCTTCTGATTACCGCACCGCGAACCACTGCTTGAGCAACGTTGACCTAAGTGTCCACTTATACACATTTTTTGGGTGCCATGGGTATATATATCTTATTTCCCCAACTATACAGTAAGACCTGTAGAAGGCAAAAATCTTATGATTGACCTCTGTAGCCCAGAGCAAGCATATCATAGAAGCTCAAAAAAAGTCTGTTAATTATTCCCTTATTTGTTTATCGTATATTAGTCTTCAAGATGGTCACTTCGCATTAAGCCCCACGAGCCTTACACATACTTATGATTTAGTCATTATATTTCCTTTTTTATAGATGAGAAACAGGATAAGTAAATGACTTGCCTTCGGTGACACTGCTAGTAAGCTACAGAGGGAGGACTCGATCTCAATGCTTTTGAAGACTTACGCGTGATTCCAGCACAGCCCCCTTCCCCGCGATGGTGTCGGCCCTGCCTCCCCGGTAGCTGCAAGACCTCACCAGAACTCCCGTCTGCGTCCCACAGGCTACAGCTGGGCGCGACTGGCGCGGGAACCGCTAGGCCGAGGGTCTGCACAGGCCCAGCAGGCGCAGGGAAGGGAGGACGCTAAGGCCCGAAGCCTCGAGGGCCTGGGCGGGGCAGGGGCCCACCTGCTTAAAGCCGGCTCCTCGTCGCTAGGCTCTTCAACAGCGTAGGGGTCATAGTCATCTCCGAGACGGTTCATGGTGGCCTGCACCCTCCGCAACCGTCTACAGGCGTTGGCCGAGTATCTGTTTACTCCGCGGTCCCTTCCCTAAAGCGTTCCGGACTCCACTTCCGGCCGCACTGCCTCACCTTCCTGCGCGCCTGCGCAGATCGTCCCAGTGAGGGCGCGAGGGGGTGAGGGGGCCGGGGGGAAGGGGTGTGCATCTCTGTGTCCCGCCACCGCTCTCCACTGCTTTTGCGTGTGTCGGAACAGCTAGCTTATTTCTGGAAGTAGCAATAGGCACCCTCATAAGTGAGCGTCTCTGAGATAAACACTCCACGTACAGTGTCTCCTGTCGTAACGTGAAGAAGCAGAAAGCTAGATGCTGAGGGACATGCAGCCTAGCCTGTAGGTCCCCAGATACTAGCACCCGACGTCCCTCCAACCTCCTGGTGGCGAGCGGTTCTACCTTCTCACCGCGCGGCTGCCTCTTCACACTATTCACTTCTTAGTCTGACTGCGGCTCTGATCTTCCTCCGAACAGTTGCTATCTAGACTGTCACCAGTTACTTCCCAATTGCCTTTTCTTGGCCTCTTCTCAGTCCCAACATTTTCTCAGCCCGTGTCCGATTCCACTCAATACTTGAGATGAGGCAGATGACAGACAACCTCTTCTTGACTGTGACACCATTTCTCCCGTTTTTGTACCAGCCCATACTTAAGTTCCTGTCTTCTTCCGGGACAACGCTCCCTTCTTCATGATCACATTCAGATGACTACCGCATCTTATTTTGGCCTTTGCCCTCTCCTCCGGTACTATGTCAGATTTCCAATTGCCTGGCTGCAAATCTCCGCCTGCTGCACCACTGGTAATCCAGTCAATATAGTTCAAACCCAATTCAACATCTTCCTCCCCATTCCTATACCTAAGCCAATAGCTACTTTTGATTTTTTTTTTTTTTAGCTGAGCCATCCTGCCACCTGTTGGCAGCTCAGCACAAGCTCAACTCAGCTCAGGCCGGGAATCGAACCACTGTTGCTCAGAGCTCACAGCTACTTTTGATTCTTGATTTGTCGCTTCCATCATCCTTACAACTGCTATAGGCTGAAAGTCTTGGGCTCTTGGTTGACTCCTTTCTCTGTCCCTCCATGAGCCATCAATTCCCAAGCCCTGTCGATCTCTTAGCAATATATCTCTCATCGACATTTCATCTCCCTACCTCTCACCTTGACTATTGATTGATCTACGCTCCTAATTGACAGCCTTGTTTTGTTACTCTCTACTGGCAGAATGGAAGCAGCACAGCTTTGCTCTGGATAATTGATTTCCTTCCCAAAAAGTCCTACTATTTCACCTTTACCTACTGATCTGTTCACCTTATCCTGCAGTATTCTTGGCCCTCAACAATATGGTTCAATCCATCATGCCAAACTGACTTCCCTACACATACCAGCACAATTTGCTGATTCAAGAATATGTGTTATCCATTCTACCACTGGCCCTGGGGCACCCACTCCTACTTTTAATTCAACCATCCAAACCCTACCTGTCCTTCAAGATACACTTGCAAGTAATGCATGGGTCAGTAACTAGACAGAATGGCCCTTTAGGATACTTTTCAGCCATGAGATGCTATAGTTATGGGAACTCACATTGTAGCTTCTCTGTGATTTCAGATTCTCCCTCTACATGGGATCTTTCTCTGGTTTGAATCCTTGTAGGATAATGGACCTCTCATATGCCATGTATTTCTCTGGTTTTCAACTATTGTTCCCCCCAACTCTTTTGAGAGGTAAAATACTCTCCCATGTGTCACAGTGATGTGAAGGAAACCCTGTTGGGGAACCTGGGTTTTTTTTCTTTTCTGGGAATTGTGGCCCTCCTCAGGAATATGCCCTTACATCCATGTTCATTCTGTTCCACAAAAGTTGGGCCATTATTTACTTACTTGCTTTGATAAACTTAAATTTTAAGAGTTAGAAATTTTTTAAGGTGTGGCTGTGGTCTTAGGACTTGTTACAGGACAAGTAAATTCAGGGACTCAGGCTGACATTTTGGGGTGGCTGTTTGGGGGTTATATGTGCTGATGGGGAGCAAGCAAAGAAAAGCAGAAGTGTAAAACAAGCAGAGAGAAGAAGAGAAGCTTTCCCTGACACCTTGTCTAAAACTTTAAGCCCTCAATCCAACCCTTTCTCTCCCTCCCATCTTCTCTAGCCCTTAATCCATTCCCCCCAACCTCCTTACTTCACATAACTTATTTGGTGGCTTACTTCCTGTCTCCCTGTTCCATTTCTCTATTGCTATACAAAAACACGACCCCCAAAATTTAAGACTTTTAAAACAAATACAATCATCTATTTTGATCACAAATATGCAACTTTGACAGGAATTACTCTGCTCCCTAATGTCTGGGATCTCAGATTGGGACTGAAACCGCTGGGACTAGCTGAACATCTCTCTTTCCATGTATCTTTCTCCACAAAGCCTTGGGCATCCTCACAACATGGTAGCTTCAGAGTAGTCAGTCTTCTTACATGGCAGCTCAAGTCTCCCAGACAGGGTCCCCAGAGACCCAGATGGAAGCTGCAAGGCTTCTTCTGACCAAGCCCAAGAATTCCCTGAGCATCACATCTACCATAGTCTATTGGTTAAGCTAGTCACTAAGTCCAGATTCCAGGTAAGAGATAGACCCCACCTCTCATGGGCATAATAGCAGAGATATAAAGGATATAGTTTACTGTCTAAAAAATGGTTTGGCTTACTGTCTAAAAACAAAATTAGAATTGAACAACTCAAACCCCCCCCCAAAAAAAAAAACCTCAATTAAAAAAATGGGCAGAGGACAGGGCTGGCCAAGTGGCTCAGTTGGTAAAGAGCTTGCTCAAGAGTGCGAGCTCTGAGCAACAGGGCCGCAGGTTTGATTCCCAAATGGGCCAGTGATTCTGTGCCCGAGCTGAGCTGTTGCTGAGCTGCCAACAGGTGGCAGGATGGCTCAGCTGGTGTAACAACAAGATTGCCTGTTCGGTGGTGGGCTACGCCCACCTGCAACTAAGATTAAACACAGCACCTTGAGCTTAGAGACCACAAGCTACCGATGGGCAGCCAGATGGCGACTGGCACCCTCCACAACGAAGATTGAAGAACAACTTGGCTAGTCCCATTCCCCAATTCCCCAACACTGTTCCCCTCCCCCAATTCCCCAATAAAATCTTTAAAAAAAAGGGCAGAGGAAATGAAGAGACATTTCTCTAAAGAGGACATACAAATGGCCAACAGACATATGAAAAAATGATCAACATCACTAATCATTAGAGAAATGCAAATAAAAACCACAATGAGATAACCACCTCACTCCTGTCAGAATAGCTAACATCAATAAATTAACAAACAAGTAAGTGTTGGCAAGGATGTGGAGAAAAGGGAACCCTCATACACTGCTGCTGGGACTGCAGATTGGTGCAACCACTATGGAAAACATCATGGCGATCCCTGAAAAAATTGAAAATGGAAGTACCTTATGACCCAGCAATTCCACTCCTGGGAATCTATCCAAATAAATTCAAAACACTAAATCGAAAAGACATATGCACTCCAATGTTTACTGAAGCACTGTTCATCATAGCCAAGATATGGAAACAACCAAAATGCTCATCCATAGACGACTAGATAAAGAAATTGTGGTACATTTATACAATGGAGTATTACTCGCCCATAAAAGAGAATGAAATGTCACCATTTGCAACAACATGGATGGACCTAGAGAACATTATGCTAAGCGAAATAAGTCAGACTGAGAAAGACAAATACCATTAGATCTCACTTATAAATGGAATTTGAAGAACACAATAAATGAACAAACAAAACAGAAATAGACTCAGAGATATAGGGGGGAAAATGAAGGTTACTAGATGGGAGACGGGTGGAAATGGGGGAGAAGGTGAAGGGATTAGAAAGCACAAATTAGTAGTCACAGTATAGTCACGGGGATATGAAATACAGGATGGGCAATATAATCAATAGTGTTGTAAAGATTATGTGGAGTGAGTGCCACATGGGCACTGGACCCGTCAGGGAGATCACTTCATGGACTGTGTCGATGCCTGACCACTGCGCTATACACCTGAAGCTGAAGCTGAATAATATTGAATGCCGACTGTAATTAAATATGCATTATATGTATAGTCATGGGATGTGGAGCACAGCGTAGGGGATATAGTCAATGGTACAGTAACAGCTATATACAATGTCAGAGGGGCAATATTAGGTTGTCGGAAAAGTCATGACGTATTTTTCCATGTTTTTCGTTGCAAACATGCATCATGACTTTTCCGACAGCCCAATAGGCTGGAGGGGGGGGGGAGGTTATTTTGTGAGGTGTGTAAATGCGTAACTATTATATTGCTTTGTACACATGAAACTAATAAAAAAAAACAACAACTGAGTCTCCAGTTTGAAAGGAAGCACTCAATAGCAGACAAAATATTGGGGAAAAAATCAAGGCCTTGCATCATATTTTAAACGCACACTGCTGCTCTAAAACAGGAATTGGCAAAGGATGGCCTGTGGGCAAACTCAGGCCGACAACCTGCTTTTGTAAATAAAGTTTTATTGCAACACACACACACACACATACACACACACACACACACACACACACACACACACACACATACACACACACAAATAAAAATAAATTAGAATTGAACAGAGTAAATGAACTATTTCGGAATTAACTACAAAACAGTATAGTTAACAAATTTTTCCAAGTGTCTTAAAATGCTTTCTATTGCTATTATATACTTAACTCGATCACTGCAAAATTTGCAGTGCATGAAGTTGATACTTTGCCCTGGTTTTCTTTCTTCAAGGTTGAAATCTTGACTCCCCCCCCCCACCCCCCTTTAGGTTTGACTGGGTTTAGTCGTGTAGGTTGAACCAGTTCGCCTGTTGGAAGTCGTTTAAGACAGGCTTACTCCGGAAGCCGCCAGGGAAAACACGCTCCCTATCAAGGAAGTAGGTTGGGGAAATCTTAACTTGCAAGTTTAACGCAGGTGACGGAAGATCCTCATAATCACAATGGTGTCTAGTGAGGATGAGTTCCTTCAGGACGGCGGAAACATCCTTTTTACCAAAAGGAAGG